TGATATATTAAAAAAAAAACCTTACTCGTTCGAAAAAATGAATCCTCAACTTCGAATATTGCTAATATCTAGCAACTAGGTTGCATTTTTAGTCTACAATAACTTACATATATTACTTATTTGTTTTGAGATTTCACAATTTGAGAACAATTTTTCCAAGAATGTTCGTTTGTATGATTTTTAATTTCTACAACGCTCAAACTACAACCCTGCGGTTTCAAATCCACCCAGCGGATCATATTGAATGCATTTACGGTACCTTGCTTGTGATCACTCTCAATAAAGCAAAAGCAAATCATAACCATATCAATAAGAAATTAATAGTCTACTTTGTGTGTACCAATGTTTGCTTACAAGTAATAACAACAATTACTCATATTACTTACATTTATTTGCATTTGAATTTATTATTGACAATTGGTCAATACTTTGATCATTGCATATCGATATCTGATTACTTCGCGGCTTGCCTTGGCAATGAACGCGGCAAGTTATTTGCGTCAAGTGTCGTATATTGTTGTCGCTTGAATATACAGACATACATATACATATATTTGTTGCACATAAGTATGTAAATATGAGGCGATTGTATTAATCAAGTGTTTTGACGGAAGGAAAAATTCAAAAGATTTGAAAAATTGTTTTTCTTGAAACTTGAAAAAAAAAACTATTAGCATACCTATAATGATACTTTATTTGTTTATAAACGTATATCAAATATAACAGTTAATTTGCAGCTATAAGCCATAGTTTTCCGAAGTGAGCAATATAGCTGCCTAAATAAGAAAAGCAGGCCTGGCAAATGCTCAGGTGACTCTCAGGATAGGATTTCATTTTAAAGTCAAGAGATGACTTGGCTGCCAGCTGTCTCTATATATGTAAGTAAAGCAGACATCGTGCCTAGCGAGTTCTTAGGTGAGTCTCACGCCTCAATGGAATGTGATATGAAAGTCAGTAATTTCAGGTTAGAAACTCTATAAAAGAAGGACACCGTGCCTTGAGAGTCACGAAGTGACTAATCTGACTCTCGCGCCGCGATGTGATTTTGCGCGAAGCTGGCGGCCAGCTGGGTCTACTTAAGTAAAGCAAGTACAGTGCCTGCCCAGTACTTATGTTACTCTCACGCCGCGATTTTATGTAATTTAAATCTGTACAATTTCTTCGAACATTGCTTTATTTCGTAAGACAATAATCAATACCAAATGTCGGGAAGATTTTTCATCAAACGAGAAAGTTTTTCATACAATGACTTGATTCCGATCGTTAGATTTGTATGACAGCTATACGCTACGGCGGTTCCGTCAAATGAGTAGCTTCTTGAGGAGGAAAGAACGTGTGTCTGGTCCGTATCTCAAGATCTGAAGGTTCGCGTATATGCAGAGAAATGGGCAGACGGGCATGTTTAAATTGACTCAGATCACCATTCTGATCGCGTATGTATCTATTTTATATAGTCTCCAACACGTTTCCTTCTGGGTATTACAAACTTCGTGGAAAACTTTAGATACCCTGTTCAGTTTATAAATTTCCACGAATTTGTTATGATGCCTAGTTGCGATCCATATGCTTACGACGAAATTAAAACTAATTAGAAAAGACACGTCTCATTTCTTCAAAAAAAAAATCAACGACAGTAAAATTTGTGAATTAAATCAGCTTCCAAGCATAGTTCATTATATTCAACACCTAGTTCTTTAATTTTTGATGAGCACATACATATTTACCATATTAACGTGTATACATGTATGTACATATGTATATGTTTGAGCAGCTCATACTAAATTAACCAATCTTTAACAAAAGCAAACAAACACTTAAATGCATATTGAGTGCACTTCGGCGTTTACAAGCACGCCGCACAGAAATAAAGACGACATTTGTCAATCGCACAAGCCTTTCTTTTTCTTCTTCTCCTCCTCCTCCATATCCGCAAACACGTAGATATTCCATACCTTAATGATATGAATCCACTTTTTTGCTTATAATAAATGTGCTTACCAACATTTGCACAAGCTGCCGTCTGAGTGTGCAATTAACTGTATACGATGTACCGGTATTGTACCGTTAGCTTGCAATGTAGCACCCTTAGCACTGTAATGCTATTACATACATAACCTCACTTCTGCTGCAACATTTCACCCACCCGATAAGCTTACTATTCGTTAGTGCCGCTATTTTTAAATCTTGCAATTTGTTGTTGTATCGTTGCACAAAGCGTCCAGTGCACGCTTCAGCGCCTTTGTGCACATAGTTAAAATTAGATAATCCATATTACAGCGAGTGCATAGCGGTAGCCAGCAGGAATTTGCTGTTGCCAAGGACGTCCTGCAAGAAGCGAGTGTGCAAGCATGCCACTCCTTTGGCGTAAAGTGCAGGTGCAGCTGGTGCAAAAATTGAGGATGTGGCATCAAGTCTGCGCAGCTGTTGTCATAAATGAATCGAGAGTTTTTTAGTGCGGTTTTTATTCCAAAGTAGGAACGACTTAATCATTGGATTTCATGATTGACCATCATTGACAAGTGACATTCCGGTTAATTTGGCAATATGGATTATCGAGTATCCGAAGTAAATAAGTCAAACCTCTGAATGTATTATTGTCTTCGGTCCTAGACAATGCCCCGCTAGAACAGATCCAAATTTATGGCGTAATGGCCCCTTTTGCGACCTTTACAGTTATTTGTGCCTAAATTTCCGGTAATAACCTATTCAATTATCTCTGAGAATCTCAAAAGTTCAACATTAAGATGTCTAGTGTGAAATAAATCTATAAATATCGCTAAATATACATATTTAAACTTCATACATATATACAAGTTTAGTTTCAACCGAAGCATTATTATTTAAAGCAACAAATTAGACACTATTCTTCCTTCCTTTCATTTGACTGCTTGCAATTTTATACTTTTAGATGAGCAGTCTTCATTTATAGATACATGATAGAGCTATCAAATGTCCTTAGATATGTGTAAGAAAGAATTCTCTACAATACATACATACAAAATAATTCCTATTAAATGATGTTTTAGCACTTATCTAGCTCCTTTAAAGTTGAAGAGAACCGCTCGGAGTCGCTTGAATTCGATAAGCCGAAAGAACTTAAGTCGGAAGTCCGAAAAGAAGCTTTTCTCTTGATGGATTTAGACTTAGACTAGGCCTGAGAAAGTGATATCAACCGATTGGTAACCAGTCAATAGTCAGCTCTAGTGTTGGATCTATAAACCACCGTCTAGCTTGGCAAACGTGACTAAAAACAAAGCTTCGAGTTCACAGTGCGACCTAACTTAACATAATCCGCTGGAAAGAAATCCAAAATGAAGATTATTCTTCCTGATTGGCGGAGACACTGCTTATGCGATTATAGCCGACATTATTCCAACAGCGCGTCAGTCCTTCTTCCATTTCGCTGTTGGCGCCAATTGAAAATTCCAAGTGTAGTCAGGTCCTTCTCCATCTGCTTACCCCGGCTGGAACTGCGTGGAATACTCTTAAAGCTGAAGTGTTTTCATCCATTCGGACGGCATGACCTAGCCAGCGTAGTCGCTGTCTCTTAATTCGTTGAACTACATATGTATGTCAATGCCGTCGTATATCTCGTACATATCATCGTTCCATCGGCTGATCCGCCATTACCAATACGCAAAGGACCATAAATCTTTCGCAGAAAGTATTTTTCGAAAACTCGTAACGCCGACTCATCAGATGTGGTTATCGCCCTTGTCTCTGCACCATATACATAGCAGGACGGGGATCATGAGTGACTTGTGGAATTTGGTCCTTGTTCATCGGGAGGCCTTTACGTCTTAATTGCCTACTAAGTCCGAAATAGTACCTGTTAACAAGAGTTATTCTGCGTTAGATTTCGAGGCTTCCGTTGTTGTTGGTGTTAATGAGACTTCGAAGTTGTGACTGTCTACAGTGACGTAGAAGCCAAGTCGCGAGTGCGTCGACTGTTTGATGACAAGAGATAATTCGTTGGGTTCTCGTTTTAAAACAGAATCTAAAACAACATTGCAACCAGTTATGGAATTAATTATTTTAAGACGACTTAGCGCTACCCGTTGAAAAACGACCAGAGATTCAGAAAGAATTGTTTTTATTTTTTAGGTTATGAAATAATTTCTAGACCCACAGAGTTATAATCAAACTCAACATTATATATGAAGACTAATAACCTAAAACTTCTCTGTATTTCTAGGTGCCGCCATCAAGTGTTACGTATGCAACAGTCACAAGGATGCCAATTGCGCACTGGACATACCGCCAGAACACTTACTGAAGGACTGCGAAGAGGATTATTCGACACGCGGCAGAGGTATACCGACCTACTGTCGCAAAATCTCGCAAATCATTGAATTCTCAGTAAATAACTGTAAGTACTTGAATACATAACAAATAACGGTAAACCAAATTTGTTGAAAACTTGAAAATGATGTATGTAATTTGACACTTTTTACACTTTTTGCTACTTGCAGTACCACCAGACAGTCGTGTCATACGCTCTTGCGGTTTCCTGAATCAAACATCGACCAATTACTGTTACCAACGCGCCGGCTTCGGTGGTCGCCAAGTGGTCTGCTCCTGTGACAAGGACAATTGTAACGGTGCTGGCGCGCTCAACCTGTCCATCGGTGTGATGTTCGCCGCTGCTGCCGCCAGCGGTTGGGCTGTACTATCACTGCTGAAACGTTCATTGGTTTAAAGCGCCATTTTAGTTTGAGTCTTGCAAAAAATAAAAACAAATTTTTCAAATATTTCACTCAACACTAGCTTGGCTTGTTAAACATACAGACAGACAGAAATATGTTTTTTGTATTAGTATCTTTTTTTCGTGCGGTTAAAATGATGTGATGTATTGTTGCTGTTGTTATTTAGCTTATTAACATCAAACTTTATTTGAAATGCTTGCGCTGCATATTTATTATTTACACAATTTCTTCACAAAATATAATTTCAATATATGCTAAGCGCATACATACACACATATGTATATACATAAAAGCATAAATATATGTATATTGTTTACGTCCGCTAAAGTACTATATTTAATTTTTAATAACACACAAACGCACATACAGTTAGTAAGGACAAAGATAAAGCGGAGGAGTTGTCGTCACTTAGCAGAAATTAGTAAAAAACAAAGCAAACGCCTCACCTGATGAAATTGGTTTTAAAGGTCAGTATCTATGCTTACAAATGTTCATATATACATACATATATACCAAGTGATCAAATTTGTCCCGGACTGGTTGATTCCTTGTCCGGATATAAATTCGGTTCCGTTCCGGCTACTCAGACTTCGACTGTCGTGGAAACGGTTTAGCCTAAGAGTCCTCTAAGACTCGGCGGCTTAACACATTTTGTTAATGTTTTGGGTGTGAAGTGTGCCAACGCTAGACTCGTTCCCGAATATAGTTTTGTAGTTTTTTTTTTGTCAGTCCGGGTCAAATTTGATCAGTTAGTTTGTATATATTAATTCAAAAATTGTTAACAGCTGTTAAAGCCGTTAATAAATGTTTACCTCTTTACAGTTAACGCGCCCAGTTTCATCAAAGTACATACATATATACAAAATTTAAACGCTCTCCTAACAAATAAAACAACAATAATAATATGTATATGAAAATAAACGTTTGATATAATAAAATCCAGTAGCAGTTCAGATTTTGCACAATTAGTAAACAAACAAAGAAAATAGCAAAAAATATGCGAAACGTTATATAAGAGAGCTTTAATGTAATAGATTTTTAATAATAAAAACTTTTTATAAATTTGAAGAAATTACCAAATTCTGCTGCTTTTTATATCAAACTCTTACAAAAGTAATTGAATTCGTTAAAAAATACTTAATTTGGAATCCTTTTTTATGTTTTATGCATTGCTATACTATTTATTAATTATTTTATTACATACAAACAAACACATACATAGATAAAACAACAAAAACGTTGAAACAAACCCTATTTACAAAAACAGCACACAAAAGCAATGTTTAACCAACTGTAAATCCACCAAGCGAATCTTTAGAAGAAGAACAGAAAAACATTTGAAACTGAATTCTTTATATGAAAAAATATTTATAAAGTTAAAATGGTACCAGCAGGCAGACAGTGCGTACATTTGGTGCCAATGGACGATTTTCGTTGTAAAATCGTTGTAAGTAACTAATTGTTAAAATAAAGGTAAAATAACGTACTAAATTCACAAGTATTGTAAAGTCATAATTTTGTTCTCGTTTTTGCTTTTAAAATGAAGCAAAAGCAAACAGCTGAAACCAAAAATTAGTTATAGTTTTGCTACGCAAGAAAATCGTTTAAATGCAAACATTTCATTTCAAATTGAAAATGTTTCGCATTTGATTTTCTCGTGTGATCTTTCTTAACTTTAAGCGATTATAAATGAAAAATAGTTACAATTATACAAATTTAAACGAAGAAATAAATGAAGAGTAAAATAAAATTTGACCAATCGCATTTTCTTTATACATTTATTTTTACTCAAGTGATTTGTAATTTATTTATATTATAAAAACGAAATGAAACCACAATTAAAATAAAACTATTGAAATTGTATATTACCAATAAACATTTAAGGACTGAGGTGCAATAACTTTATGGTACAAAACTTCGTTTCTGCAGGGTCGTCTCTCCTGTGTGTAAATTAAATATGAATGAATCTGAATAGTTAATAAAGGTAATTCAAATTATAAATTCCAAACGTTTGGGTAACAGGTTTTTAAATCTTCGGAGTATTCGTCAACCAATTTACATCCATACAAACTAAATTTAACTGTAGTAGGTAACTGCAATCTTTTCCGCTGCCGAGCAAGTTTCAGGCTGTTTTCCACCTACCAATTCTTAGTATAAACTACTTTTCATTTAATTTATAGTCGTTTTTTTTTTTTTTTGTAGATTCATTCGTAAAATTTAATTATTACCATTTTTAGTACATACAAAATTATATAAATACTTTTTTTTTTAATGTACATAAGAAATTATACATTTTATACAGAATGGTTTTTACTTTTTGCTATTTAAACAAAATGCTACATAAAAGTATGGAATAAAGTCAATGGTAGCAGCACAGGTATGCTTTTTTATACATACACTGTTTTCGTGTTACTCCCCAAATGGCAAATATTTATGTTACATCTATAAACACATGTACGGTCGTAAGTACATATGCATATTCGTTTTTCTATACATCATTCTCTTCCTCATCGGTTACTGGCTCCATTACGGCGTCTGGTTCACTGCCATGTCTAACACGTTTTAATGCTATATAACATTTTTTATTTGCTATTTCGTGATAACCCACTGGTCCCATCTCACAGTCGGCACATATCAAGAACTTACGGTTATCCACAGTGTTGGAGAAGCCAATATTCTCGAAGGTGAATATATCATCAATACACCAGAAGTTTTTGAGTAACTCCGTTTCAATAATTTCAGTGTCTTTACGATGTTTTTGCTGCATTAGCGGCATTTCGAACTAAAATAAAAGAGTATTTTTCTCGATATAAAGGCGTCACCGTATTTTTTTAAGAACTTACCTCATGCTCAACATAATCTCCGAATTGTGGTTTCAATATCAATGAATAGCAATAATTACATCGTACACTGTGTTTATTTTTATTATTTAATATTTGTTCTGGAATTTGTGCCTCATCCGTCATGGTTGATTTTCTGTGATTCTGTGATTCGATTTGTGCGCAATGCAATGCAATTATTTAGAAAAGCAATTAATTATCAGCTGTTATTTACAGCCGGGGAGAGAAACAAATATATCACATTTACAATGAATAGCTGCAACACGTGAAGAAGAAGAATGTAAATGTGCAATAGAAATTTCCATTTGGTAACCAGTTTCGGAGTAAATATTATAGAAAACATATTTTCGCAATTGTTCACACAAATTATTATTTATACACGAAATTACAAAAATATGATATTTTGAATATAATTTTTCTTTTCATAATATTCAATCTTTTTATAAATCCACTTTTATAATGTTTGAGTTTCTAAAAATTAAACCATCGTGAATGGTTTTATTTATTTACATTAGTGCCGTGAATTTTGTTAAAAGTGTATTAATACGCTTTAAGCAACAAATTATAATTTAATAAAGTAAGCCAGACTTTAGCTGTTCATGAAATATACTAATTAATTACCAAAGAGATACTGGATACAAGAAAATGACTGCAGAAGTAATCGAATCTCAAGCTTCTGATATCGACAGCAAAGCTACTCTTGATGCATCCAACAGAAATGATGTAAATACACGTTCGCCCGATCAACAAAGTCAAATTGATGAAATATGTGATTTTCTCAGTTTCAATGAACAAATTATCTTTAAATCGCAACAAATTGACGATCCGGAACTCTTACGCGATGAAAAAGTGAACATTGCTCGCGAAATATACAGAAAAAGTGCACAAACCTTTCTGATGCGTTTCGGCAGCTATTTAAACGAACAACATCTTGCTACATTTGCACAGATTGTTATAGCCAACAAAGAAAAAAATGATGAAATTGCAGTGCTTCTTATGGATTATCGCAATAAGTTGCATACTCGCAAGCGGGACGTAAAGAACCGCCGTTACGCGGCTATGCAGCAACTAATTTCGGATGGTGAATATTTCAGTGAGCAAGAAATGATGAAACGCGCTCCGGAACTGTATCAAGAGCTGATTGGACAATATTTAAGTGACGCAGAAAAAAAGCAAAGAGACGAGTATGACGTGAAAAACACAACCTTCTCGGGCATATTGATGCATACTATGGAACAACAGCAAATGCAAGACGTACTCAAATTAGCGGACAAGCAAAATGTCAAAAGCAGACAGTTGGAGCGTGCAATTGAATTGCACGATATTAGTGCAGATGACACAACACAAAGTACAGACGAGAAAATCGAAGAAAAAGAATGTAACACCATGGATGATGAAGTACCCGTTAGTTTCCGTCAGCAATGGGGTAATTTCGATAATGAACAAGTGGCTTGTTCAACCAGTACAAACAGCTATCTAGAACAGAAAAATAAAAGAGAAAAACACAGCAAAAAGCAAATAACAAAAGTCAACAGAGAACAAAATATAGATAACTTTATAACAGCAGGCGAACGGGATCTTCTGCGTCAAGAATTTATTGGTATTATGCATGAACAATTCCTCAGTGGTGGTGATAAGGATTTTGATTACACACAGGTGGATGATAATACGCAATTAGATGATCTCAGCCAAATAAATCAAGACAAAGAAGATGCTTATTTCGAAGAGAGCGACTATTCAGATGAAGAAGGCAGTGATATAAGAATAGAATCAAAGGAAAGTCTGGACGACGAAGAATCAGAGGATGATCTTGATGTGTTTATGAATCATTTAAATAAACACCATAGTTTACAGAAATAGATTTACGACCTGTTATACACATAAATTACAAATATAAATTATTTAAAAAAAAAAACCAGTGAACTCACCTGAAAAACGTTCGTTTTCTGTTATAATCCCCATTTTTCATACGCAATTTTCATTAATGACATAATCTTTAATATTGGGCATATAATTTTCGAGTTTATTTTTTGGTTTAAGAAATAACTTTTTACTTAAGTATATGTCAATGATATCTCCAATATTTGTTTGTGTAATTAAAATATGAAAAACCTACTTAAACAAATATAGACGTACGTATTACGGAATAAATATGCACTATTAGTTTTAGTAAAACTCTACAATTTATCTCGGTCGACCACGGCCACGTGGAAAACCGCGTCCACGTCCCCTTAATGCTTTACTATTAGCCGGCGGGCTTTTTGGACGTAAAGATTCAATGCGACTAGTACAACCGGTAGCAGGTGCTTCGGCAAAGTAAGTTTGATACAAATCGGCATTGAAATTGGAGTTCGTCAGTTCTGGACCAACTGTTAGCCAACCTGGTCGTATACTGGAATCGCGACCAAAAAGGTGCATACGTCGTCGGCCCAAACAGAAATGTTCAATTATATGAAATATTTCGATCGGTTTCTCAAAGCTCCCAAACTCATCTTCCTCCGAGATAATTAAATCGATGTCAACGTTAGCGTGTATGAAATCACCATCTGTTGAACGGCGTACAGTACCTTTTATACCCATTAAGCAGTGCTCTTTTGTACGTTGAAATACTGCTTTCGGTTCTAATTGTTTTGAATGACCAGGTTTGTTTATATTGGTACGTATCCAACAAATGTCTTCACAGCGTCGGAAACCCCACTTTTTCAAACAATTGCGACCCATATCTAAGCCTTCTGATGAACCGCACCAAAGAAATACAAATGACCGATGCGCTGCCACTTCACCTACATCTAAATCTGTTAATATAAACAATATAATAGTGGTAATAAATTAATGTAACGAATTTGTACTTAATATTTCCTCCCAGTTCCAAAATACTCGTGGCGCACCACCCACAGTTGCCACTGATGGTGCTGCTCTGGCATATTCCTCCAAGGGTGGCTCTATTAATATGACATCAAATTTAGTGCCTAGTGTTTTTAGGTCCAACGTTTTTAAGTCAGCTTTTAAATACATTGGTGCTGAAGCAGTATCCTGTATCAGCTTATCTTTCAAACGTATTAGTTCTCGTAGTTTTGGATATTCCTCAAATCGATCAGCCAAACCAACGTCTCTAATAAAATTTTGTGGCCGTTGTCCAGTATCGACAAAGTGTTGACAGTAGTCATTATGCGGATTAGATGATTGTGTGCCCTAACATAAAAATTCACGTTAATTTACATTTTAATAGAGGAAAAAACACGATTACAATCAACCTTTAGAAACGTGGAGGAGTCACGATAAATAATTTCCCCAGGTGTCTTTTTACCACCACTGCCCCCTTCATCCTCACGACTGCTTCCACTACCACCGCCACTTCGTTGCCCACTAAATCCGGCATAACTACTTCCTGATACATTATTCCATTCATCTGCTGTTCCAAGCACAATTTTTAGTTCATCTACGCTAGACAGGCCAAGCTTTAAATATGGAAGAAAATAATACATCTATTTAGCCAGCGGTTCTTGCATGTTTATGATCTACATACTGTTTGAGCCAATAATTGCTTTCGTTTGCGCGAACGCTCTTGTGATATTTTCAAAATATCACTCATTATGCAACTAGGAAAATTTATTAAATAATTATTTTTTAGATTAAATAAAATTTTAAACTAAATTACTTTTATCCATAAAACACCGGCTACAGAACAGGATTTGGATTACATTCACAATAAAAGGCTTTGAAAAATTAGTCATTCACAAACATATATGCTTTTTTTAAAAAATTGGGATTCTGTAGAATTTTATAAAGTACAGATTATTCTAGATTATTGTACAAATTTTAATAATAATCTGATAATAGAAAGAATCTTAAAATCAAGTTTTAGCACACCAGATAATTTTTGAAAAATTCATTGTCATAAATAAAGAAACTTTTGTGAAAACAACAAAAGTTCAATGTTGTGATATAATTTTTGTGAATGCAAAAGTATGAAATTCAATTATTAATTTACAATATCAATGACGTGTGTTTGACATTTGTGAATTGGATTTCATGTTCCATATTTTAGCTGTCAAGTGGAAGTGTAATCTATAAATATTCTAAATTTATTAAATATACTGTGATTTATAGAAAATTCTACAACTTAATACACTTAGGTATATAGAATGAATGTTCTACGAAGAACGGTGTTTCTCGGGCTGCTAGTGCTTGCAGGTTTTCTGGTGTTCACTGCGGCACAGGGTAAACAAAAGGTAAATTTTATTCATGGTGGGCTTGTTGTTCCTCGACAGCCACGTCATGTTCTGCAATCAAGTTAGATGCCGGCAAAATATAATTATATTTTTTATTAATTACATAAATATAGACCGGACTCTCCCTATCAGAGAAGGTGCGTAATTTGCACGATATGAATATGAAAAAAGCGTTACTGCGCTTCAATGGACAAAAGTTCCGAGAGTACGTAAAAAACGCACCCAGAAATTACTCTGTTGTTGTGATGTTGACAGCTTTGGCTCCATCTCGACAATGTCAAATATGTCGCCACGCTCATGACGAATTTACAATTGTAGCAAATTCATATCGCTACTCACCGACTTACTCAAATAAATTATTCTTTGCAATGGTCGATTTTGACGAGGGTTCCGATGTTTTTCAAACATTGCGTATTAACACAGCACCAGTATTTATGCATTTCCCAGCGAAGGGTAAACCAAAAGGTCCAGATACCATGGATATACATCGTGTTGGTTTTGCTGCCGAAGCAATTGCGAAATTTGTTCATGAACGAACTGACGTACAAATACGCATATTCCGCCCACCAAACTATTCTGGCACCGTAGCAATGATTACGCTTGTTGCTTTAGTAGGCGGTTTTCTCTACATACGTCGCAATAATTTAGAGTTCCTATATAATAAACAGATTTGGGGCGCTGTGGCGTTATTCTTTTGCTTTGCCATGATTTCAGGACAAATGTGGAATCATATACGTGGTCCACCATTAGTGCATAAGAGCAAAAATGGAGGTGTTGCATATATACACGGTTCCTCTCAAGGACAACTAGTGGTGGAAACATACATCATTATGTTCTTGAGTAAAAGATATCACTATGTTTTGTTTGTACATTTTTTAATAATATTTTCGTATTGCAGATGCTATGATTGTATTGGGAATGGTTCTGTTGACAGAATCTGGTACTCAAAGCGATCAGAAAAGAGGGCGAATTATGGCCATAGCGGGGCTACTACTGGTGGTAGTATTCTTTTCCTTTTTGTTATCGGTATTTCGATCAAAGGCACAAGGATATCCTTACAGGTAAACAAGTTTTTCTAACTTGTAAACAACTTTAATGATGCACATTTATTTTTTTCCAGTTTTCTTTTCAAGTAAACGAGAAACTTAACTTTTTTCCGATAAAGTCAATAACATTTTTAGCTGATTTTCTGAGCGTACAATTTATTTAAGTGAGTGTTAAGCGAGTTGAATAAAATTGTATTAAAACCACAATTTTTATATATGTTTTATTTATGTAATATAAACAAAATATATAAAGTACTAACTAAAAATTTGATACTATTAGGAAAATTAGTTTATAAAATAAAAGGAATAAGTGCTTTTCTATTTCTTGGATAATTTTTAAAATTTTCCTTGTACCATTTGTGTGTAAGAAGAGCATTTGCCAACTGTAAATACAAAAGAGTTTTATTATCGATTTTTTAGCTAAGATTAAAAATAGACACTACCTGGTTTACAAATACCCAAATAACTACGAGTAACCAAGTATTACTTGTGGGCAATAGGCCCAAAATTGCCAAATACATCACAACTTCGAAGAGCATATGGGGAGATGATATTATGTTGAAGAACCCACCGGTGGGTAGTAAATGATTCTCCGTTTTAATTTCTCCACTCTTAGCGTCCTTGCGTAAATTTACAAGTATCATGTTAGACTTGTACTGTTGTGTCCAACTAAAGTGGAAAATGAATATGCAGAGACATTGGATGAGTGATATGTGCTTTAAAGAGAAAGCTGACGGTAGTGTTCCTGTAAGTATAAATAATTTCATTATCATATCAATCAACAATGATTTATTTCAAATCAGTTATTATTACCTCTCACAAAGCCTTCAGTATTACTTAATAATGCTAATATTGCACCAAAATAATGAAGGTGGCCCACTAAATAATGACTCCAATTGATCTTACTATTTTTGGAGAATATTTGCACGAAATTTGTTTCATAAAAACGTCTTGCGCATTGAATTGTCAATAGAACGCTAGCAACTAAAGCGGATGTGGAATTTACTTGAACATTTCTATTTGCTTGACCACCAGCAACAAAATCTAAAAATTCAAGCACTAACTCTGGGGCTGTAGCGTTCATGATAAATCCCTTTAGTAACAGTGAAAGCGCCAAAAGAGACCATGTAAAAGAAAATATGTAGAAATGTTTAAACCAACTTTTTGGTATTTCTGTCATACTAATTAACGCATTAGAAGGTCCTTTGTGACAATGCTTGCCATAGCGGAATGATTGTCGCAAACAATCTGGAAGTAGTGCCTCGACAATATTAATGAGGCTGCCGAAAATTACAATCACTACGATGAAGCCAATAAATATAAAATTTAATATATTGAAATTATAAAATTCAATGAATTTATATATTGTTTTGTAAATATTTGTCAACATTATGATGCTAATATTCGTATCTGTTACACTTTCACTTTGATCTATTTTTGAGGAAGTGATGGGTCCAATATTACTTTCTTATCACAAGAATCCGGTTTTAAACATTCACAATCAATATTTGTTTGCCCTTTGCTTTGAAGCACCTTGTGAATTTGTAATAGGTGTATTCTCTATTGTTACTTGTAATTTTGTTGGTAGAAACGAGTGCAAGCCAAACAAAAACATTATTTTCATATTATTCCACAGCTGTTGTAAACATAAAAAATATTAAGATAAATATACTTAAATATTTAGTAAATTCTTTAATTAATGTTTGAAATGCTGCTCCTCTGCGCATTATTACTGGCTCAACAAAATGATGAACAAAGCAGCAGCAGTGATGACACAGACTCTGAGGAAACTCAAATAACAAGTCGAAGACGACAAGAATCTTCAACAAATCGAGTTGGTCAAACCGCAGTTGCAAGGAAATCAGAAAGAGTATCTTTAAAAAAACCCTCAGTAGTTAAAAACAAGGCAAATGTCGTGCGGAACACTATCAAGCGACACAATAACTCAGACAACTCGTCAGAAGAACAAATATTGAAAAAACCCAAAACTGAGCCAACATTTTTAAACACTGATAACAATTTGCACAATACAAATTCAACCAATGATGTGAACACACGAGAATCAACAGACGATTGTTGCTCTGTTATCATAGCCCACAAAGACTACCCAAAGATAAAACTTAGTACCAGGGAAATACGAAAAATAAAAGAAAATTTGTTGGCCGAAATAGATAAAACAGAAAATATTGGAGCAAATTTGGGATTTTTATCTTGCGTCCTTGAAGACGGATGGCTGTTGCTTAACTGCCAAAACACAGGTACAAGAGATTGGGTTATGAATATTATAAATAAGTTAAATACTACATTGAAAATGGATTTGAAGGCAACTAATAGCATAACCTTGCCACCAAAAACATTTATCTGCTCGTTGAATATACCTTCAGAGGACGTTATGTCACCGGATGCTTTAAGGTATCGTTTGGCCAAGCAAAATGTAGATCTTTTAACGGAAGAATGGTGCTTTCTGAACGTAGTGAAGAGTGAAGAAGGTGGTGAATGTGTCACCTATCGCATTGATGAGAAATCAAAGTATGTTATAGAAGCGCGTGGATATAAACTTTTTTTAAATTTCTCACAGATATCAGTACAAACATTACCAAATTAAAAGTTATTTACTCATATTAATGTTTGGACTATAGTTAGTGAATATATTATTTATTTTCAGAATTGTTTCATTAAAATTTATTAACATATGTATGTATAAATGATAATTTTTTTAAGAATTCACAATAAACATTTGACAGCTTTTCAGCTGTTGTAAACAAATAAATTCATTTGGTTTTATGGGGGTTTTGTATCGTAATAAAACTGCGTGGCCTTTGTATACAATTATTTGAATTTTCATGTTATCAGACATTGCATTAGTCATTTTCCTTTGGGGATTGATTGAGTGGATCGGTAACAATTAGTGCAAAATAAAATTCGATTGTAAAAACTAATACGCTTCGTGGAAAGATTTGTGATCGAAACGCGTTAAAAATATACCGGCTTGAAAAGGAAGTGTACAACTCAATTCACAAAGGTCAGATGTTGCAAAAGGTTGGTTTTTAAATTTTGCAGATGCAATGTTGTAAATTACAACAGAAAATTATGAAATTAACATCAAAGCTTTCGTTCTTTTCTGTAGTGGTATCTACCTTATTCCAAAGTTGGATAGTACGGATTTTAGTTTGATCAGTTTTATTCCTTGGAATACTACAAAACAATGGGTGACTCAGACGTAGTAGTATCATGGAATTGGACCGAGTTTTGCTCTACTGGAATAAAACCATTCGCTCACAACTCCAACGACTTATTACCCTGCTTTCAGGAGATTGTACTACAAATTCCAATTTATACAATATTTGCGACAATATCTGCCTACAATTTTGGATATTATACGCGTAGTGTGTTACGTGATGAACTGCAATTACGCCTTCTTTATTTGCGTATAGGCGTGGCAATTATGTTGGCACAACTTCCTGTTTGGAAGATATTCGTTTTTCATCATACAGGCGTTAAATTATATGCGGTCGACGTGTTGGTGGTTGCGACAGAATGTGTGATGTGGGCTGTGCATGTGGGTGGGTAGAAAAATATAATTGGTGCATATAAGATCAAAAGCAGATTTGTTGATAAATTAACGAAAGGTTCTTAAATTGTAATACAGGTTATTTATTATCCACACGCCGGTTTGGCAACCTCAGCCACCGTGGTTCGCTTTGTATTAATGTTACCTGGCTAGCTGTTTTAGTTTTGGATGTTGTTTGGTTACAAACCAGTGTTAGTTATGATTGGTGGCCATGGAGCTTGGTAACGGTGATTTTCGATATTTTCTACGCTATAACATTAATTCCTACGGGCAATGCTGTTTTCAGCACTTCTTTCCGACATACTTCGAATAGAGTAAATATAACTCGCCGTCATAAAATACTGTAACAATAAATTAAATTCTTAAAATGTTTTCTAGGAAGATGAATCGCTACTTGGCAACCGTTACACTTATTTCCATTTTGATTTAAATGAAACACATCTAGGACATGCTCAAGATGACGCCAGCTATACATCACGCTTCATTTTCAATTGGGTGAATCCGTTAATAACGAAAGGTGTCGCTGGCGGTCTTAAAAAAATTGAAGATCTCTTTGATCTACCCGATTCTTTAAATATTTCAAGAATAAGCGAACATCTACAAATTTGCATTTCGCAATCGAAAACATTGTTTTGGTCATTGCATAAGGGATTCGGACGAGAATTTTATTTAATAGGTATTTTAAGATTTATTGCCGACATTGCTGGATTCGCTGGACCGTTATTGCTGGGTGGTTTATTGCAAAATAGAAACGAAAGTGATAATACAGAACCAGATTGGAGTCCTTACCTGTACGCCTTGGGACTATGTGTCACAACATGGTTATGTAAGAACAAAGTAATATATATTTATACAATCTAAATGAGAATATCCTCTTAATGTATTTTAAGCGGCTATATGTGGCACCCATTTTAACTGGCGTATGTCAATGATCGGCATGAAAATGAGAATCGGACTTGTTACTGCTATATATCGAAAATCGTTAGAGGCACGCGGTCTTAAGAGTTCTCGTCCGGATATATTGAATCTAATGTCTACTGATACAGAAAGGATAGTGAATTCGTGCATAAGCTTTCACTCCTTTTGGAGCATACCATTTCAAGTGAGTAAAACAAATGCCATTAAGAACTCAATCATATGTCTTTATGTTTATGAATAATTACAGCTTTTTACTACGCTCTATTTGCTCTATACGCAATTGGGCGCAGCTTTTTTAGCTGGCTTAATATTTGGTATTGTACTGATACCAATAAATCGCTTACTGGCTCAACGTATTGGTCAATACTCGCGCGGTCTTATGAGCGCTAAAGATCAACGTCTGGCTGCGACCAGTGAAACAATGAGCGGTGCCAAGCAGATCAAAATGCATGCTTGGGAAGATATATTTATTGAAAAAATTCGCACCTGTCGCAAGTTGGAAGTAAATTTCCTAAGAAAGCGTAAATATTTAGATGCACTTTGTGTTTACTTTTGGGCCACAACGCCAGTCTTGATGTCGTTTTTAACTTTCGGTGTGTCTGTGCTGATGGGCAATCCACTGATAGCCGCGTCCACCTACACAAGTGTAGCGCTATTAAATATGTTAATTGGCCCATTGAATGCATTTCCTTGGGTGCTCAATGGACTTATTGAAGCTTGGGTGTCAGTGAAGCGCGTGCAGGAACTTATTGATGTGAGACTAAAGAATAAAATTAAACCAATTTTCGAATTACTTAATAACCAAGTTTATACTTTTTTAGTTACCCAATTTAGATTTTTCATCTTATTATAATCCAATTATAAAATCTACTGGCTATGAAAACTCGACGAAGTTGGACGATAGGCCTGTAGTTCTGGAAATGAAATCGGCAACGTTTGAACATGAAAATGGCACAAAGCAAAACAATAACGGACATCAGCAAGAAAAATTCCACTTAGATAATGTCAATCTTACAGTGAAAAAGGTCATGTCCTAAATTGTTGTTATGAACAAATATAATACTATATATTTTAAATCATGCAGGGCGATTTAATATGTCTCGAAGGACCCGTCGGTGGTGGCAAAACTGCTTTGATCGATGCTATAGTTGCTGGTATCAACTGCACATCGGGAAGTATATGTGTGCACGAACTAACTTCGGGTATTTTGTTTTATAATATACTAACATACATACATATGTATATATTGCCTTATATAATATTCTTATTATATATATATTGAATAAAAAACTATGCCACATAGGTTTTGGTTATGTGCCCCAATCGCCTTGGTTGCAGCGTGGCACTATACGTGATAATATCATTTGGGGCAGTGTATTTGATGAGCAATGGTACAAAGCTGTTGTTTATGCCTGTGCGCTAAATGATGACTTAGAATTGTTAGGCGGTGATTTAACTGGGATTGGCGAAAATGGGCGTACGTTGTCAGGCGGGCAAAGAGCGCGTGTTGCTTTAGCGCGAGCAGTTTATCAAGATAAGAAAAGTAAGTGTCCTATAAATTGTTAATAGTGATTAGACAAAAAAAAAAAAAAAGATTTTATATGGAGAATTGAAACATTTATTGTGCCGATTATTCTCTTTGTGTGTAGTCTATTTATTGGATGACATACTCGCCTCATTGGATGCACACGTTTCACGACACATTATCAAACATTGTATATTGGGACTGCTAACGGAGAAGACTGTTATTGTGGTTACGCGTAACATATCGCTATTCTATCATGCTCATCAGGTAGGAATTTTAAACTATAAGCTCACATACACTCATATGCACATACTTACAGTGAAGGAGAAAGAGGGGACATCGGGAGCAATTCCTCCCGGGCCCAGAGCTTTCAGGAGTGCCCTGTGCTCTGTCAAATTTTTTGCAAATGTTTTTCTGCATTCATACAAGCATACAAACATATGTATATTCATTTGACCACTAAAACTTTATGTATACATATCTCTCCACTTATACAGATAATCCATGTGGAGGATGGCAAAGTAACACCTAGTCAATACATGCTTTCAAGTATTGATATAAATTTAGAATTGGAAGCGGGCGACACTGACGATATATACGATTGCACTCGCAGATCTTCACTTGCCGTCGAAGATCAAAATACGTCTGATAAAAAGAGTGTTGATAGCATTATGTTAGAGGTAAGGATTTCTTAGTCATATTACTATAAAATTACAAAAAAAAAATTATAATAATAACTTTCGCTGTAGGAATCACGCAAATATGGCCAAATCTCCTTGAGTGTTCTTTCTTGTTATTGGCGCGCCATTGGCACACCACTGGCCGTGACCACATTAACTTTCGTTATACTTATGCAATTAACGCGTAATTTATCTGATGCATGGTTGGCACATTGGGTAACCGATACTACATTGGATCCACAAAATAATGACACAACTCTGGAGCATATTGTCCACGTGCCACAGCAGTTTAGCAATCATACTGTGCCACCACACAACACAGGTTATTATCTTGGAATTTTCGCCTCACTAGCAGTGCTCAATTCGCTGGCAACAATCGCACGCGCATTCCTCTTCGCCTTTGCCGGTATCAAAGCCGCTATTTATGTACATGAACGATTGCTGCATAAAGTTTTATATGTAAGTAAACAATGATGTGATAGTAGCGGGAATTTATAATAAGTAATACAAAACTAATATCTTAATTATTTTCAGACAAAATTCAATTTCTTTGACATCACCTCCGTTGGACGCATTTTGAATCGATTTTCTTCGGATACCTACACAGTTGACGATTCCTTACCATTCATACTAAATATACTCTTGGCCCAGCTATTGGGTTTGGCAGGTAATATGCACTTTTCTTTTAATATCATATATCTGCTAATACGTAATGCAATAAATTTTAGGTGCACTTTGCATCAGCCTCTATGCCATGCCTTGGTTGGGTCTGATCATCATACCCATGGTACCGATTTATCTCAATTTACAATATCGCTATCGCCATGCTTCGCGTGACATAAAACGTCTCTCAAGCAATGCACTCTCACCACTCTACACACATTTCACTGAAACATTGCAAGGCCTTGTCACCATACGTACAATGCGAGCGAGTGCGCGCTTCCAACGTGACTTCCACGCCAAGCTGGAGGAGAGCATAAAGGCGCAGTTAACATCGGCAGCAGCGCAACAATGGTTAAGTCTACGCCTACAAATGTTGGGCGTATTGCTTGTAGCTGGCGCTGGCTTTCTAACTGCTATTACATCGGCACATGTTACCAATCCAGGACTAGTTGGTTTGGCCATTTCTTATGCGCTTTCAATTACTGGTCTATTAAGTGGATTACTTAATGCTGTGGCGGAAACAGAACAGGAATTTGTCGCAGTCGAACGTGTAAATGAGTATATGCAGTTGGAGGGTGAAGAGAATGCTGAAGGCACTTGTGATCCACCGTTCGGTTGGCCGAGTCAGGGTGCGTTGAAATTCACAAATGTGGAACTGCGTTATCGCGACAATTTAGCACCCGCCCTACACGACATCAATTTATGTACAGAAGCGTTTGAGCGCGTTGGAGTTGTGGGTCGCACTGGCGCAGGTAAGTCAACACTGGTGGCGGCTTTGATGCGTGTTGCGCCACTAAGCCGCGGCGAAATCTCATTGGATTGTGTAAATTTGAAAACATTAGCTGTGAAAGTACTGCGAGACCGTTTGGGTATTATACCGCAAGATCCTTTCCTGTTCGAAGGTAAAACATTTTGTTTATTAAAAGTAATTATTAAGATATGTCTATTTAAAATGTATCACAATTCAGGCACAGTACGCGAAAACCTTGATCCACGTCACACTTATTACGATTCGGAAATATGGCATGCACTAGCCACCTGTCATGCGGCCACACAATTAGTACAATCACTTGGTGGCTTGGATGGACGTATCGAGAAGGGCGGCATCAATCTATCAGCCGGTCAGCGACAACTTATGTGCCTATCACGCGGTCTGCTCAAAAATGCAAAAGTGGTTTGCATTGATGAGGGCACCTCCAATTTAGACGACGAATCGGCCATCGCTATGCAACAAGCGCTGCGAAACTCCTTTAAAAGTTCAACAGTTCTCTTCATAGCGCATAGATTACGCGGTCTACAGCTGATGGATCGTATTTTAGTTATCGAGCATGGTGAGATCATAGAAGAGGGCACACCACGTGATTTGGCTCAAAACACAATATCACTCTTCCATAGTATGCTGCAAGCGCAACGCATCAATGTTGAGGAGTTTTGCGCGAATTAGAACTTCAATACTAATAGTCATATGTAGTAAGGTAAGGTCTACTTTATGATTATTAATTATAATATATGATTTTTAATGCACCAATATATATTATTATATATAGGTACTTTCACCGCTATAAAAAATATTTTTTATGAATTTAACTAAATTAATATGGCAGTTATGTTTTTATGGAAACATTCATATTTATGTAGAGAAATTTACATGTACATATAGTATATACATACTATACATATAATATATAGATTCCGAAGAAGTAATATATAGGATATATATTATGCCTGATACTGTAATAGTTTTGATAGTCAAAAATGAATATATTATATTACTACTATTATATATTACCATTATTTATTACATTTTAAATAATAAATTGAACGGAATTTGTAGTATTATTAAAAAATTTTACATTCCTCTATAATTGTTATTGTAAAATCAAAATGTATGCATCAAACGTTGTTATTTTGGGTCGATTTTGCTTTGTCCGTCTGTCGGTCTGAACATACGAGAGTCATAAACTCGGGTAATAATATGCATGCCAAAGTCACGTTTCTTCTTGTTTTATTTTTCTTTTACCCTTAAATAGAATTCTGCGTGGTAATGTTCACAATTGTATACACCATTAAATTATAGAAAATTTATTTTATTATGTATTTATAATACTTCACAAATTAGTTTTATCACAAATGTTTCAACAAATCTCACGCTATGGTAATACAAATATTTTTACTGGCAATATATAGAATGTAGAATTGATTTTATGGCATTTAACACGTTGTCAGAAACATAAAAATCATTTAATTATACAATTAAATGCTAAGTTATCTAGTTACCTAAATCTATATAATATTATTAGTTCAAAATTATGCACAATTCATTTTCACTTCGTTTTTGTAATTTAAAATTTTGTTTTTTAAATCTATAAAATACTTCAAGAAATTTCTCATACTCTATTCGCAATAAATCCGGGTTTGTGCCTTCATAAAATAGTTAAGACATAAATATTTCAAGGTAACAGTGAAAGTATCATGCATATTTTAAAATAACAATTCAAGATTTTGAACAATGAATTGATATATCAAATTTAGTATACTTTCTTTTTTAAATTTTATAATCAACTTAAGATTAAAAAAAATAAACAGCATTCTTTGAAACATCTGTTACGGAAACTTTGGCTAACTTTTCAATTCAATTTTTGTAATTTAAATACTTAAAATATACATACGTACATGTATGTTGGCATACATATAATAAAATTGACATTACTATACTTTATAATTTGACACACAAAAGTAATCTTAATTTAAAGTTTAAATTATGTGAATAGGTCAATATAAATACACATGCGCATGCACATACATGGTAAACACATGCAAGATCGTGCAAATTCAAATGTGACAAAACAAAAAAAGGCGAGAAATGGCAAAATAAATTGTGGCTTCATACGTGTGTTTTGTTCACCAGCCGGCTGAACCAACAACCGCTATTCTAAAACCACTTGAGAATTTTGTAAAACAAATCAAGTTGGAAATATATCAGAATATACTTGTGTTTAGAAGATTCCTATGGGCATATGTGTGTTATATGCAAACATATTTGTAACAACTACATATACATAACATACAAATGCACTAATACTATATTTGAAATACTTAGATCTGAAAACCTTCCATTTTGTATACCATAATCCAATTTAATGCATCCAAAATGTGAGATACGTGCATGGAAATAATATTCCTCTACTTATTGCGACAGTTGTAGAGCATCTCTTTAGGCTGACCGGTAATATGTTCGAATTGATAATTCTCAAAAGGTGGTTCACTAAGTAATTTATTGAATTCGCTTTCAAACGCACTAATTGATTTCTGCAATTTGGTATCCACATTAAACTGTAATTAAGAAGGTTAAATAAAAACCTTAAGAACATCAAGAAAATTTTAATAAACTTTTAAAAACACCTTTAAATATTCCTTGCCAGTGTGCACTATTTTTTTAACATCGTGTACTACTTCGAAAATGTGCTGGTAACCACCCACTTGACACTTGAGTATAATGGAGCGCACATCCATAAAATCATGCTTATGCTTTGTCATGAATTCAGGGAACTATTCATAATTTGCATACGAAACAATAATTTAAATTTGATTTCTTAAAAATTACTTTTGTAAAACTTACATAATTTTTGGTAAATTGTAATTTGAAAAATAATTCTGCATTTTTCATTGCCATCAGACGTTCAATCATCACATTAAGTTTATCGATGAGATCCTTACCCAACGGACGCGGTGGTGCATTTGGATCGTAATCGTTAGAAAACTCTGTTAAATTTTGCTCCAACACACGTATATCATAACTTAACCAATTTGGAGGTATTTTTTCTTTAATTTTCAAATATTCCGCAGCTGCTGCCGTTTCCATATCGGCGGCTGGAGGCCAAAATTCGGAAATTTGTTCATCGAAATACTGTTCAAGCGAATTATTGTTCGCCAGTAAGTGTTGCGCTGCTGTGTTTGTAGCGGATGTGCTAGTCACACTTGTAGTCACGTTGTTTATTTGATCGACAAGCAAGGCATCCTTTTTGATCGGATTGTATGTGCCCGTTTTAAAATAAGTACCATTTACAGTGGCCTGACGCTGACTGCCCTCAGAGTCCTCAACCATTGTGTAAAGATAATTTTTATTTAGCGCATTCTGTGTTGATTTTTCCGTAGATGTATTTAGAAAATCGAACGAGTCATCAATCAGTGAATTAACTGGTTGTAATAATTTAATAGGCGTAGTGCTGGATGCTGCACGTGTGCCATTATTTTCAGAATTCTGATATACATTCTTCTGTGATTGCACCAAATTGTCTAGATTTACAAATGATTTTATAAGATTCTCTACAAAATCCATTGTGGTATCCTGCCAGGCTGCAAAACTAGCTGCAAAATCGGGGCTTAAGGCAGATTTCACTTTGTTGAGTCCTTCCGGTGTATTATAGACATAACCCTTGATAATAATCCAAGCATTGATGACACGTGTAAAAACAAAAATAAAGTCCTTTACGGCCCAAGCTATTCCCTGTGAATTTATATTGGGTAAAACGCCATCTGGTCGTATAAGATCCTGTTTCATGCGTGCACAGAGACTATCGATCTTTTTGAAGCATGGCCGATTACGATGCGTATATGCAAGTTTTTCGGCAATTTCACTGCCACGCAGTGCTAGACGTGTTAGCTCATTAAATTTTGCTTGCGAAAGTGTTACTGTGCAGCTGCCACCACTACCAGGTGAATTAGTAGCATTGGTGGCATCGCCTCCAGCACCACTGCCAAGTGCGTTACTATTGCATATACCGGTGCTGTTGTTAAGGTCGCTTTTTAAAGAAAAAATTATAATTAAAACTTCAAATATAAATTGATTGAAACTTACTCTGAACTTAATAATATCGGTGAACTACGCAATGAAGAGCTCTCTGCAAAAAATACATAGAAATATGTAAGAAATATAAAATTTTAAAAATTTGCATATTTTTTGTACTTAGTACTAACCTTTGTTCTCCTTCTCTGCTACACCACCACAAAAATTCAGCAAATTCACCTTAGCTAAAGATGCATTGATCTCATTCATGGAATTGAAATTTAGTGGCGAATTCTGACTAACACATTGCAAACCAATTTGTATATTGATTTTGTTTGAATCATTCGCTTGAGAGCGCAGTGTAGGAACACCGCTGGAAGACGTAGCACTACTTGTGGATGCAGAGGACACACCAGAACCGGGAAGCGTATTGGCTGTCGATATTGGTGATATATTGTTACATTGCTGTGGTGCATTCTGCATATTTTGTTGCATTCCGGCCGCAGCCGCAGCTGCTGCAGCTGGATATATCGGTACAGCAGCGTATGGTAAGGTGCCAGCTAGTGCGTATGGTAATGCCATATTTGGAGCAGGTAACATAGGTGACAAAAATGTAGCTGTTCCGTAGGGCCATAATGCATGCATCTCTTTAAAAGTGAAAAATAGATTTAAATTAACCTTTTAACCTCAATTTCATTTTTACCTTGATTCATCATATTAGCTAAACGTAATCTCTCCATTTGATGCTGATGCTGTAGCGTTAATGTTACTGGTGTTGCTACAGATGCTGTAGTAACAGACGCTCCTGCGCACACTGTTGTTCCGCTGATACGCGTATGCTGTGGGTGCTGCGACAACGAATCGACGATATGTTCTGTAGGTTGTAGGGTTACTGGTAAAATACCTGTGCAATTTGCTCCTGCCAATACGATATTTGTTCCAGACAAATCATCCGCAAGTCCATTTGATTCGAGCGAATTGATGCCCAAAATCTTACGTGCTACGTAACGTTAATACCCACAATTATTTAAATTCTAATAATTTGCACCTTTTTGAAAGTGTGTTAAAATTTTTAAATTTGTTTGTTTTTTTCTAATAGGTGCGCTTTTATATTTTTTCTAATATTTATTTCAAATTTCTCCTATATTTCTGTGAAAATTAACTAACGTGAAAAATCTTGCCAACTACGTTTTAAGAATTTTGTTCAATAATTCACAAATGCAAAGTGCTAACGGCTTTGACGATCAAAGGCAAGTGCTTACTGAATTGATCTATTTACATATATACTGAAATATTTCCGGCGGATACAAATTTAATAATGAGCTAAAACAAACTCTTTTAAATGCAACTAATAATTATTTGTACCAAAACCTGAGTTTTGTATTTCAAATCTACTCTCTTAACCTTCAAAACTATCATGACTCCTTATTTTAATTATTTACTCACGCTGTCGTTTCACTACTCGTATTTGCTGCTGTTCGTTCATATTTTCAAAATGGTTGCAACACGATGGTAACCGCTTAACGAATATTGCTTCCTTTTCGTTGATGTTGGCGAGAGGAAAAGGAAGCCTTTCAGCTGATTTGTGAGTTCGTTACTTTCGATAAAATTTTATTGTAATAAATTTGCCAATTTACTTATTTATTCAGAATTTAAACAACACTTTGATAATAATTATAAAATATATTTTTTAAACTATTTAAACAAAATTCAAAAAACTAAATCGAAGTGACAGAAATACAACGAATCAAAAGAGAATATTGGCGTCAACTGATATTTGGACCAATGTTGCTATGTTTCAAATTTTACCCATTCATTTTAAAAGTGTTGGAAATTCGACCGCGTTAACGATTTTAACAGACTTTATACAATACTTAAGAAAATTTCTGCATGCTATACAAAAATAATAAATATCTTTTAAAATATCAAATTTTGCTTTTGTAGATATATATATGTACATACGTTTAGTCACATA